AATCGGATTTTTAGAAGTGCTCAGCACCTAAAAGTTTCATTGTAGTGTTTGTGGCCAAATTTTCACAGGAGCTTTGCAATCAGTGTGCACCCAGAATGTGAGCTCTTTCAGAATTCTGGTTTTCATGTGTGGTTGCCAAGCTATATTTGAAAGCCTGGCTGGCTGCACAAAACACACTCTTTAGCTCTCAGGTGCTTCCCTATTTAGTATATGGTTAGCTATGTAACATATAAAACCAAATGTAGTATTCATTTTCAACAAATAAATGTTATAAGCAAATAATTAATAATCAAATCAGTAAGAAACAAAGAAAAAATAACCAAAGAAAACAGAAATAATCGATCCAGACTCCCAAGTCTTCTAAAACAAATTGCAGAGGTCTCAGTTCTGCAAAATATATGAAGAGCTACTCAATTCTATCCCTGTTCAGGAAAACTTGTTAAGCAGATACTTTTAACTCATTGATTCCAATGGAATTTACACGTGAAAGTTTGAAAGAAAAGAATGCAAATACTAGAAGAGAGTTTAAAGTAGGTAGACAAGTAGAGAAAGTAGGGAAAAAAAACCCACAAGAAAAATAAACTATGCAAAAAAATTTGGTAAATTTAAAAATACAACAAAAGTCACTTGATCTACTGGACAATTGTTGTCCAGTATACCTAACAAAATTACACAAGCAACATACAATGAAAATACAAAAAAGCATCAAAGCATTCACATTGGAACCTCTTAGTGGCACAAAAAGACAAGATTCAAGCTTACAACTCCTGTGCTCTGACGAAGTAGTCCACCTGACGGAGAACTGAGCTGTAAAACAGTACCGTGATAAGTTTTATAAAAGATTTTTGGAGATCTGTTGGTGAAAAGGACTGCACTAGAAAGGGATTTTCAGAGTGCTCTTTCACAATAACTTTCTAATTTTTTTTACTAGCTCTTTTTTTCACAAGATTTGTGTGCTGCCCTTGGCAAAGAAATGGTAGAAGATTCCGGCTTCTAGGCATACATTGCAACATAATCAAGGATGAAAGAGAGGAACAAGTTAATCCTAAAGCAGATTCGGGAGTGCATACACCAAGCAAGGATATTAAGAATGATGCTGCATTCCAGGGCTGGAACAGACTTCAAGAAATGATGTAATTGAGCCCTTTCTCTAAAGACAGGCTTTAATAAAAGCCTGGAAGAGAATGAGAGGATCTGAATTACCATCCAGGATCTTTGGTCAAGTGCGAAGATGAAGAGTCTGACCTGAGAAAAGCACTTCCACAGCTCCCTTAGGGAAATGCCCACTGATCATCCTCGTCTGCCACCAGATTACAAACATAGTTTTAATTAATAAATTCAGATTAATAAATTTAGCACTTCTAGATAAGTCACAATACTTATGACGTGGCTTTTTACATGTAGTTAAAGCTCCCACAGCTATTCCATGTCTGAATCACAGAGAAAAACTGGAAAAAAAATTACTTAGATTCCTAAATCTTCACTTGTGTCTCTGTCTAACTTTTAAGAACTATGCCCATCTTTTTGGGCTCATTTTTTTTGTGCTACTATTTTTTAAAAACACGTTTTAGTAATGCACCATTTCAACAGCTTAAAGCTCAGAGTTTGATAAAAAAAAGGCAGAGGCTAGGGCTCAGGATACATGACGTTTCATTCCTAACAGTGCTACAGATTCCCAATGGCATTTGGCAAACCACTTAATCCCACTGCACCTGGATTCCCATCTGTAAAACTTCCAAATTACACAGTAGACTTTCGAGTATTATCTAGAGTGCTGGGCACATGCACAGCAACTTTTCACAACACTGATCTTATACAAGGGGCTTTTAGGCTCAACTGTAGCATAAATCATGACTTCTATCTCTTTTCTAATTCCTTAACAAAAAAGAAGAGAGGCAGTTTCCTGTTCTGCCAAAAGGAAGAGAGGGTGGGCACAAGGGTAACATACAAAACATGCCCAGGTTCACCACTCTTCCTGTTTGTCTCTGCAAAATTACATGACAGATGACTCTTAGCTAGTTTCAGCTGTGCTAATAATTTGAAGGGCAACCACTTTCTTGCATGGTCTGGGGAAGAGCAGTGTCTCACTCTGGAGTAATGCCTGAGCGCTGATGCTGTTGCCCAAGTGCTAGAGGCAGGAAGTGCAACTGCTAGTCCATGAAAGAGTGAAAGTGACTATTGACAATGACGTTTTTACATTTTACAGACTTACAAAGCATATTTAGGCCTCTAAATCCAAAGCATATATCTAACTTCTCAAGGATTTTCGTGGGAGTATAGCAGCTTTAATACCTTTACACATCTTTCCAGAGCTACTGGCAAACACAGAAAGTGGAAAAAAAAATTATAGGGATCACTTTTGTGTCTCCTTTCTGATTTTCTTTCTTCTGCTTAAAATCATAGCAATCTTAATGTCTGACAATCACAGAGAATAAATATGCTTTACAAAGAACTTAATACAAACTTTCAGGAGGAATTGAGTTTTGCACAGATTTGAGATGTCAGAATCTTTTAGGACTCAGAGATCTTGGTCTCCTGGTTTCCAGAAATCAATGAAATTCATGGCTTCACTCACTGAAAACCAGGAAAATTACATGGAGGATACTGGAGAAGGTAATAAAGAACCTGTTGCTCAAACTTATAAATCCACTCTGATACTATATGCTGCAAATAGTTCCAGACAACATGTCTGTCTGTTTGCACTACAGTGTACACTTCAGCTTCTATTCTTCAAAGCTCTACAGCAACAGCAGTCACAACAACATGGCAGAACTAAGGGTTAATAGGTCTGTTAACTTCCCTTCAAACTCAGAAATCTGTTCACCACTATGTTGTATGCTATGTGCACTGTATTTTTAAAGCACATTTCTCAAGAATAATTTTATACTATTTTATGTTCTAATTCAAGCAGAAATTACAAGTTAGATGAAGGCTGTGAGAAATCAGATGACTTGTGCAGGAGGTGAGATAAAACAATCAGAATGGTACATTATGTACATAAAAGCTTGACATTAATAGGTTTGGTTACAGTAATACGGGTCAAATTTGACCACTGTACAATGCTTAGCACCTTATTTTGCCTTCAAACCTACTGCTGTACTGAGTAAGTCTGTGTGAAGAATGATGTGCCGTTCCTAAGTGTGGCAGCATGTGCTGAATTACAAAAGGACATGCATTCTCCCTGAAACTGATGTAAGAAACAGAAATTAATAGACTTCAGGTGGAGCTCAGAAATTCCAGCTAATTCCAAGGTAGCTCCCAGCAACTAGGAATGTTTAGCACATACTCTGCCATATTTGAGTAAGGCCCAGCATTATGCCTTTTCTTCAGAACAGAGAGGGAAATATTTTCACAGTTTCTCTCTCTCTGCTTCCCCCAATGAAGTATCCTTTCTGTAGTTTCCTCAGAAATGTGGACTGTGCAGGATCACTGAAAGGACAGAAAGGTAAGGCCTATGCGAAGAGAAAATCTGATTAAGTAAACAGAACAGTCTCTTTCCTCTTTTGTTTTACCATTTTTAGTTCTTATCATGATGTTGTTACTTCTACCGTTTTGCTTTCTCAAAAGTTTGCAAATAAATGCTTAATACCAGCTCAAGCTACTAAAGACAACTTTAGGAAATGCTTAAAGAGAAAACCTTTGCATGACAAAAGTTCGTGACCTAGCTAAAAGTCAGGAGATGTTCCTCATGGCATTCGGGGAGCTTTTGCAAACTCAAAGGCCATCTAGTGGCTAAAGTTAAAAAATCACACATTTTTAACATGGTTATATTCAAGTCACACTACCCAACAAAGAATGGCACACGCACTTCTACCCAATAGACCTAACACTAAAGAACAGGAAGAGTTTGAAGTATGAAAGTATGTCATAGTTTGAAAATAAATATACTTTATTTGGAACTATGGACTCTATTCATAATGGCATCAGCAGAAATTCCCAGTGCATGCTAAGCTCAGAACTTTCTCTTCCATGTCCTCCCCACTTGAGCCTTCAGTGCAACACAAATCTATTTTCTGCTGCTGGGCATTTACAGGAATGCTTGTGTTAGGTAGTCTCAGCATCATTAGGAACCACGAGTCAGGTGTTCTGGGGTATGATCTAGCAGATGTGCCCAGGCTAGCTTCACATGCAGCCTTTCTCAACTGAGAAAAAGGGCAAGGTGCCTGCAGAGTTCTTAAAACTTGGATGTGCAATTAGTCTATCGAGGTTAACAGCAGGAGGGAGAGGATACTCTGATTTCTATCCCAGCAAAGGTCAAAGTCTGCTGATCATGAAGAGTTCATTACACCAAGACAGAATATTGCACTGGCGTTACCACAGACAGCTTTTACTTCCCAGGATGGGCACACTAAGGGTAGCTTTGTGTCCAACAGTCAATTATTGGTAGTCCATTATGACCATGCTGTACTAGATGGATGGGAGGGTCACGTGGGCTACAGAGCAACTCCCAGATGGAAAAAAAACCTAATCAACATTGCTGACTGATGAGCATGATGCATGGTGTTATGAGCATAATTTCCCTGAAACTATAACACTAATGCGATAAAATAAAGAATCAGGCCTTAATGTTCTATGACAAATCAATACTTAGTGAAAACAGGTTGCATTTAAGCTTACCATAACAGAAGTAGATGGATAAAATCTGTTATAACATGTTCTCAGTAGACATCGCTCTGCTCATTTTGTATCAGCTTCTTTGAGTAATTTTGTATACCAAGGCTGAATGCCCTTAGATTTATACAGACCTACACTGAGCACTGCAGGCAGTTACCACTGTAGGCCATTTGCTACTGACTCAGTTATTAAAAAGTACTCTTCAAGTTCAACCTTGAATCTGAAATCTCACTTTGCTCCCTGTGTTAAGAGACCTCATTCAAGTTATTAAAAAGCATAAGGAACATTCCCCCCTCATTTTTTATTTTTTCATTTTTTGGCCCAAGACCAGAGCTTTCACCGTTTTTTCCCCTTTCCCAAGTAACAAGAACTGAAGAGAAACATACTGTGCAGTGCTTGAATAGCGAGGCTTTGAAGTTCGCACATGGTTAAGTGGGATTAAGTCTACACTGTCACTGTCAATGTCTTCAAAATTTACTGCACCAACACAGCCACTGTTTGGATAGAAAAGAAATCAAAGATACGTACATTATTCATAAGACAGCTGGTGGAGACAGCTGAACTGCATGCTCCAAAATTCTAGTTATTTATTAAAATGGTCCACAAGAAAACACATGGACATGAACTGCCCCGTGTGCTTGGCATGTCCCAAGATGAAAACAATCATCTGCTGAACTTGCAACACATAACAAATGACAGCTCTAGCACATATGTGCAGAGAGGAGGCTTGGGAAGAGTGGAAATAAGAGAGAAATGTGTTATCTCCTGTCCTTTTGGCTATGTCCATAATTGGACTGGATATTTTTCCAAAGAGGACATAATGGATCCTGATTTCTAGTTTACAGGTAAAAGGCTGGAGTCACCAACAAACAAAGGAGACTCAGCATATGCTCTCCCTTGGCACCAGAAAATACCTTAAGATTAGATAACATGGATACAACTCTTGCTTCAGAAAATGAGAGACGGATTGCTCGGCCTTAATAAAAAATGTAGAAAGGGACACTGTACTTATGTATATAAAGGGATATGACAGATTTGAGAGCTTTGGCTTACACTGTTAAAGATAAAATAGATCAATCACCTTTTTTCACCAGATAGACTATTCTGATAGAATATTTATGAGGTCTCAAAACAGAGATGGTGACAGGTCAAAGTTTTGCTCTTGGAATGATGCAATGCTCATGTGAATTTGGTAAAAGACTGTGGTAAATAATTAGACTGACATACATATTAAATGACCCAGTTCAGC